TATCATCACCAGAAGAAAAAGAAGAAAATGATGAAATTAAAAAATCAAAAATACCAACTGTTCATTATTATGTGCCATGTTTGATTAAATCAAAGGCCATTAGCAATATAGTCGACAGTTTCAAAGTAGATGGACAGGATTTTAACAGGACATCTTGGATTTGTATGAATTTTGATTTTCTACCTCCTGCTTTCTTTAACCATGTCCTTGTAAATTATATACGCCGTTATCAGATAAGTCGAGAACCATCAAAACATGGATGCAAATTAGCACTTTACCGCGGAATGGGAGTCTTCAATCTTGATTCATCGGGTCGAACAAAGCTGGGAGTTTGTGTTAGCAAACACGTGATTCTCTTTCAGATCTGGAAATGGGGTAAAAATTCCAAGCGGTCATTCAAATGTATCTGGGAACATGCAGAAGCCACCATTACTGGAATAAAAGGGAGGTACAAGATGAATGTATCGTACACGATGAAAATCAAGTGCTGTAATGGAAGCTATGACAATCCAGATGGAATGGTGGAAATGACAAAGTTGGAGTCTGACGACGAATATTTTTGTGATGAGCACGCAGTATTACATAACTCAAAGGACCTGTTAGACTCCTGGTTTAAGGTATAAATATATAATATATTTACATATGAAACATGTTAACATGCATTGGATGTTTAAATGTTGGGTAAAATTTATATAAAGTATATAACGGAACAACAATTTAAAAAATGTTTAGTTGTTCAATTAGTTATTTCAAAGCTTCTACCCTTCCACAAAACTCGTTACATGTATATTATTTAATCAATTTTATTTGCGTTTCTTAAACACTAATAATGGATTAAACATTGAATGAAAATTTGAAAAAAAATAATGAAGGTATTTGTTGTATATAAAATTGAGAATGGAAATGGGGAATGTGTCAAAGAGACAACAACCCGACCATAGAGCAGACAACAGCCGAAGGCCACCAATGGGTCTTCAATGCAGCAAGAAACTCCCGCACCCGGAGGCGTCCTTCAGCTGGCCCCTAAACAAATATGTATACTAGTTCAGTGATAATGGACGTCATACTAAACTCCAAATTATACACAAGAAACTAAAATTAAAAATGATACAAGACTAACAAAGGCCAGAGGCTCCTGACTTGGGACAGGCGCAAAAATGTGGCGGGGTTAAACATGTTTTTTGAGATCTCAACCCTCCCCCTATACCTCTAGCTAATGTAGAAAAAACAAACGTACAACAGTACGCACAGTAAAACTCAGTTTAAGAGAAGTCCGAGTCCGATGTCAGAATAGGAAACAAAAGAAAATAAACAAAATGACAATAATACATAAATAACAACAGACTACTAGCAGTTACTGACATGCCAGCTCCAGACCTCAATTAAACTGATTGAAAGATTATGTCTTCATCATATGAATATCAGGCACAATCCCTCCTGTTAGGGGTTTAGTATTATACCGTCATAAAATATATGAGAAGAACACAACCCGTGTCATGCCAACAACTGGTTTTAGAATAAATATGTTTAATTCCGATGCAAAGACCCTATAAGTGAATCAATATTAAAGCCAAAATATGCAATCTTTAATGACCTGACAACAGTATCGTAACTATATCCCTTCTTAATAAGTCTGTTTAAAGGTTTTGTTAGCTTTTGGGGTGAATACTGGCATTTTTGTGCTTTGTAAAGAATATTACCATAAAAGATTGGATGTGAAATACCCGAACGTATAAGATGTCTACATGTTGAGTTATATTTACGAATGATGTCCTTATACCGATGATAAAATTTAGTAAATGTTTTGACTAGTTTATGATATCGAAAACCCTGGTGTAACAATTTTTCAGTAGTATATAAATTTCTCTCGCTAAAATCTAATACGTTGTTACATAAACGAGCGAATCGTACAAGTTGAGATATATAAACACCATAAGAAGGTGACAAGGGAACGTCGCCATCTAAAAATGGATAATTAACGATAGGAAATGAAAAATCATCTCTTTTATCATAAATTTTTGTATTAAGCTTCCCGTTAATGATATAGATATCAAGATCGAGGAAAGGACAGTGGTCATTGTTAGTATTAACTTTAATTAAAGTAAGTTCAACAGGATAAATTTCTTTAGTATACATACTGAAGTTGTCATTATTGAGAGCCAATATATCATCCAAATGTCTAAAAGTATTGTTAAATTTTTGTATCAGATGTTGTTTCGATGGGTCTTTGCTGATTTTAGTCATAAATTGTAATTCATAACAATACAAAAACAGGTCCGCAATAAGTGAAGCACAGTTAGTCCCCATTGGAATTCCGATAACTTGACGATATACGGAATCTCCAAAGCGAACACAAAAGTTATCAAGTAAAAATTCAAGGGCAGATATAGTATCAAAGCATGTCCAATTGACATAGCTCTTTTGTTTGTTGCTACTAAAAAATGACCTAAAAGAGTTTGAACATATGTATTCGCATTCCGACTTTTTAAATGCCCATTTAATTAGGTGTGTGAATTTTTTCTTAATAAGAATATGAGGCAAAGTGGTATATAGGGTAGAAAAATCAAAACTTTGAACAGATTCAAAATCACCAATATATGCATGCAATTTATCAAGTACTTCCAACGAGTTTTTGACACTCCAAAAGTAGTTAATTCCACTATACATTCATGACACAAATCCTGTACACGTACTAGTAAAACTCGAAGCAAAGGAACGACACTGTCTGTATTGGCACCAAAAGCGAAAAGTGATGTAGTACCATGTTCACTGTACTTACGCAAATCTTTACAACTCGTAGGTCTAAATAGGAGCTTTGAAAATGAAGGATGTTCTTACATTTAACAATTTTGTTGTCATGGATATGGTATTGTGCTAATGTCTACCTTTGGAAAATGAAATATTCCATTTTAGTGATATTTCATATTCAAATGATACTGCAGTCGTATGGAATAGTTTCAGTTACAGTCAGTCATATTTTCTGTTACAGTGTTAGGAACACTTTCTAAACAAGGCCCATGCATCAAAATTTTAACGATTAATGACCCAAACTAAATGAAACGAATGCATTCTGCAAACTTCAAGTTTTACCATCATTCCTGTAAGGCTTTACCTCTTTTTTTATGAGCCATTAATTAATTTGTATTTCCTCTATGTTTTCCCGCATGTAGGAATAAACTTAGTTAATCTGTTGCTAATCAATTATAAATTATAAATGTTTTGAATTCATTCTTCGCGCTCACTTATATAAATGTGTAACGTAAATGAGCTCAGCGTTAACTCTATGTCGACAATTTATAATGGTTTACCTTTTACAAATTGTGACTTGGATGGAGAGTTGTCTCATTGGCACTCATACCACATCTTCTTATATCTATATTTTTTAATTTAACAAGATCTATGTAAAGGAAAATTCTTTTTTTTCATTTCAAGTTCCATTAGGTTATGCTAAATATCTTCAGAGCTTAACATTCTTACATCATGACAAATCACATTCTTGTGTAAACATTATCTTACACGAAATAATGTTTTACTTGTGAGGAGTCGCACAAATTCCGTTTAAACTAAGATAATGTTGATACATAAATGCACATTATGTTGAGAGTTTTACAACAAACATTAAATACTTTAAAAAAAATGGGTGTATAGATAATGGTTTCCGCTAAATTAAATGTGAATTGATGTGACTCGCCAAAGTACGATGATTATATATTTGATATCCGATTTGCTAAAGTACGATGGTTATTGCTAAAGTATGATGGTGTGACCACTATAGTGCGATGATTATCAGGGTTATGTTTTGGTATCTGATCTAAAGAACGAAGTGTGATGGTGTGACCCATTATAATGCGATGGTAATCAATGTTATGTTTTGGTATCTGATTTGCTAAAGAACGAAGTGTGATGGTGTGACCCACCTAAATTCGTCGATGTTTCTGCAGTAGCCGCAGTAGATGGTATACTTAAAAGCAATTGCATAACACGAGAAACTGTGTTGGTCATGATTCAGCTAAGGTTTGCTTAAGTGTAGGCTTGTTATAGCTATTTTACGAGGTGAAAGTACTGGTATTTTGTCAAACATTCCTACGTGATTATATAAAAGTAACGTTTAAAAGATTAAAATTATTACCTACTAATGGCCAAAAAATGAATACCTACCATGTAAATGTGTAATTTATTTTAATCGCTGTCCAAAACATCTGACCTATTGAAATGAAATTAATTGTTTCCATAGATTGGCACATTTTATAGACACGTGTCTGTTGCTGAAGACTGTATGTTGAAATCCAGATGACTTCGTGTGAATTTTGCCGCTTTGTTGCTGTCTCATGTCCATATACTCCTACATCTCCTTTAATTTAAACAACACTGGCAAACCAAACAAGTAATTTGTGTTTTCAATTAATTCAACAAAGAGCCATAGCGATTGGACTTTATTTATTGAGAGTCAAGTGATACAAATCTCATATTTAAAAATGTGATCTTAAGTACAATTAGTGCGGATCGAACGTTTTCATAACTGACGTAATTTCTTGATCACGAAGTCGTCAACATTATACACTTACCCTTGCTACAACTGATACCATCTACTTCAATTTTTGCGATAATCTCTGTTCTCCAGTCCCCACAAACAAAAATGAACAACGTCAAAATCGTACTTAATTAGCTCATGCCATCACACTTAATTTGACCATCACACTAAATTTGACCATCGCACTTTAAAGTCGTAAACATTTATTTTATTTTTCCAAAAATTGCAGTTACTCATTCAAGCACTGTAGCAATGACTGCTGAAAGGACGGTTCTTCGGTTGTCGTTATTCCACAAGCAGCCACACTAACCAAGATTTGAAATGTCGAACATCGATGACGAAAATTGACATCAAGACGCAAGTTCATATATTAGAATTAGAAAATAAAGCTTGAAAAAATAGAGATTTGTTTTCATTTAAGTTAATTTCGTGTGTTTTAATTTTTTTCTTTTGTGTTTTGTAGGAAGAATTGAATGCTAAAATGCTGAACTATGTACGACTAGCGAAAACAGTTACAGACTTGATGCCGGAAGTAATGGTAGAACAATTAAAATCTGATGCATTCGACCTCACAGAAAATACCAGGTTGACATTTCGATCTCTATTTACATCTTTCCAACTGCAAAACAAACATAAACCAACTACCGGAGAGTGGGCAAGTCCAATGTGCCCGAATGAAGACACTGAGATAGGTGTAGGTGATGATGTTAAACGTTGGCGTTTTATCCTCACTGAACTCAAGAATCATTCAAAAATCAGCGAAGAATCATTCGTAGCTCTTGAAAAGGTCTTGGCAAATGTGTTTATCAGATCTGAGAAACTTTTCGAAAGTTACTCGTTTGTTAGCAAATATCAAAAGATAATGACTGGAACATTTGAAGCAAACGATTATGATTTCTATCTGCAGAAGGTAAAACATGGTTAGTATATATTAAACTTTAGCTTTAGATCAACTACTAAAATTGAGCGGTTCACTTCAATTCTTACATGTTCTTTTACATTAAGAATATATCTATTTGAATAAAAGAAACAACAGTTTTCGGATTGTTTCAAACCGTTTCACTTTCAACAGAAAATATTAAATAAGGGGAATCACCATTGCAACAACTCTTTGAGGGGTCCGTAGGTGGCCTGTTGGAAGGCAAAATGTCTGTCCCTATCTAATTCAACCTCATTTTCCAGTGGCTGTCTAAATTTCCTCTACCTTCATTCCAGACGGCCTCTATTACAGGACCTAACTATTGAATTTATTGTTAATTTGTTCTCTGCCTGAACATGCACGAAATATTTTCCATTTAATCGATCAATCATCGAATTTTTTAACATGTTTTATTTCTAAAATTACAGAAATTATCCCCGAAACATTCGAAATCAACATCAGACGCCATTACCAGATGATTATGCAGGAAATATCTGTAAGCAAAGTATTGGACCAAATGATGACCCACTGTAGGTTATCAATTGAAGACAGACGCCATATTGAACACCATGTCAAACAGACTGAACAAAATAAAGCGTTGCTAGATATAATCATTGATAGGAATCGTTCCACGTTTAATATATTTATTGATGCTTTGCGGGAAAGCGGATACGATGATATAGCCGAACTACTCAGCTGCGATCTAGAAGATATCACAGTAGATACTAGAACAGCACAAATGGAAGGTATTGAAATTGTTTATGATTTGTGTGGTATCTAATTTAGAACTGTCCAAATAGGTACATTCATCTACAATTCTTACTTTAGTATATTTAAACATATATACATGACAATGCTTGGGCTTGGAGGCATGAACGTAATTTAACATATTCATTTATGGATTCGACAAATTTAATGTATTTTATTCGAAAATTGTTCGTTTTCCATCAAAAGATAATGCTACAATGGATGAAGACTTAAAGGTACTTTTTTTTACTTGCAATATATGAAGCGTATTTTTTTAACGATTTAAGTCTCTATATTTGACACTGAAGCATTTTTTTTAACTTTTAACAACACTTCGTGCCTTGTTGATTTAAGGAAGTCGAATATAAATTGCAGCCAATATAGCACAGTTTCTTAAATGATACAATTTACCCAAAATTAATCGATCACAGAATAAATCAAACATACAGTTTATAACGATTTCCTATCATCGATAAATCTGGCTATGTGGTATTTGTAATATTTTCTTAATCGACAAAAAAATTATATATATACATGTAGTTACATTAACATATTGCTCTTTTCGACATATTTAAAATTGATGAAGGGACCCTGAAATTATATTTTGATGACAAGAAAAATAGTTGTCACATGGCAACTAGTCTGTTGTACCCATTCTCCTTCAACTCAATTGTATTACTCAATGGAGGAAAATGAATTTTAAGATTGTAACAGTTGGAGATAAAATCAGAGGTTAAAAAGGTAGAAAATCATGGTGTACATAGACAGGTAACTCAATCCATGGTTGTCCTTCAATGGTCGAAATTAGAACTAAATACATAAATGATAAACTTTCTGTAACGATCCCATACCTGAATTTGTCTTTTTTGTAAATAAAATTGTTTTTGCTTGTTTATATATCATAAATGCATATCTATTTACATATTTTTTGGTCTATTTAACTACTTATTTGATTTATTGTCGTACAATGATTATGTTAACGCTAAGATTGCCTCTAACGATTTCCTTTTTTTTCTATGTTCATTGTTATAACCTGTATGTAGAATATCCTGCTCGTATATATATATATATATATATTTTATATGAAATTTGATATGAAATTTTAGAAATGTACCTGTTCATATCGCACATTACTATTTTTATTAGAAGCATATCTATACAGTCTGTTGTAAATACCTATATAACCTATGTCAAATTTTTAAATTTTAGAATTGTACAAGCGTTTTTGTGTTCGGTTTTAATTGTATAAATTTCAAGACTGTTATAGTTAAATCAGAATAGATTGACATGATTCATTTTACATCATAATCATACTGATGAAGAATATCTGTTATCCGAAATATTTATAGATACTTACATTTATTGTTTCCTTTTTTTAATATTGGTGTTGTTTTGTACACTTTTTAGGCGTTTATATAATTTATTTATTGTGTACATGTATCGTTACTCGTATCGATCCAGCGCCCTCGTAAGAAAGATCGTTGACTATTATCTAGACGTTTTATATATATATATATATATATATATATATATATATATGTTTTTATCCAACGCAATCATGGGTTTGAACGTTGTTTTCAATTTAGACTTGTTTATATATATATATTTCGATCCCTAACATCACTGAAGAGACATTAATTGTCGAAATCCGGATATGGTGTACAAATTTTTGCACCTCATGTTTGTGGTATACCATCTTTTCCACAAGTTTATTGTTTTCTGTTTGGTATTTAATTAATATTAAGATCCATTTTGTTAGATCTGGTGATCAATTTATTTGGCAATCGCCAATGGCAGTCAGCAGAGTTTAAGAACATCCGTTGTTCGACCTGTTAGTCAAATGCGTTTTGTTAAAATAGACTTTTTCACTTTTTTTGGTCTTTTGGAAATTGTTGTTTGTGCTGTATTTAGACCCCTCTACCAAGAAATTTGTTTTACATGCACACGTATAAAAATTGCGGTTTTTATCCAACGCAATCATAGGTTTGAACGTTGTTTTCAATTTAGACTTTTATATATTTAATATATATATATATATATATTTAATTTATAATTAAGATCCATTTATTACATCGGTGATCCGTTTATTTGGCAATCGCCAATGGCAGTCAGCAGGGTTTAAGAACATTTGTTGTTCGACCTGTTAGTCAAATGCGTTTTGTTGAAATATACCATTTCACTTTTTTGGTCTTTTGGAAAATGTTGTTTGTGCTGTATTTAGACCCCTCTAACAAGAAATTTGTTTTGCATGCACACGTATAAAAATTGCGGTTTTTATCCAACGCAATCATAGGTTTGAACGTTGTTTTCAATTTAGACTTGTTTATATTTTTTCGTTTGGGCTTGTATTATATTTGCCTTCGGGTTTATATGATCCGTTCATCCTATTTTGACTCCTCAAAATTCAAGAGTCTATCCCAAATTGAGGTAAATTGTATGGCTTTCCAAATACCGTTTCGATTCCTAACATCACTGAAGAGACATTAATTGTCGAAATCCGGATATGGTGTACAAAAACCTTTGCACATTTTGTTTGCGGTATACCATCTTTTCCGCAAGTTTATTGTTTTCTGTTTAGTATTTAATTTATAATTAAGATCCATTTATTACATCGGTGATCCGTTTATTTGGCAATCGCCAATGGCAGTCAGCAGGGTTTAAGAACATTTGTTGTTCGACCTATTAGTCAAATGCGTTTTGTTGAAATATACCATTTCACTTTTTTGGTCTTTTGGAAAATGTTGTTTGTGCTGTATTTAGACCCCTCTAACAAGAAATTTGTTTTGCATGCACACGTATAAAAATTGCGGTTTTTATCCAACGCAATCATAGGTTTGAAGGTTGTTTTCAATTTAGACTTGTATATATATATATATATTCGTTCAATTTGGACAAAAGTTATATTCCTTGTTTAAAGAAATATCGGATACCACCTATTTACGTAATTGCTGCCAAAATGCATGGTGCTTGAATTCAATCAAAAGTTTATTTTTAGCATCAGAACTAATTAGTGTTCATCACACCAAAATGGGCAAGCGGGGCCCTTGCTGCCATGTCAGTTTTCATGTTAATTTCTGTACATTTTCAAAATTTTAAAGCTGAGAAAATATTTTTCTTTTGACTTTTTTCAGGATTGTCAGCATGGACTGTTCCATTACATAAGGTACGTCTGCAGAAGAATTACGTAGATATCATATCTACCATCAAACACGAGGCCATAGTAGACCATTTGATATCGTGTGAATTATTAACAATAGATGACCAGCAAATTATAGAGGCTTGTCCAGCACAGACTGAAAAGAACAGGAAGTTGATGGACCGACTATTGCATTGTGGAGAGAAATGTTTTATGGAATTTCTAAATGCTTTACGTTCTGATGACATTTATGCAGATCTTGCAAATCAGATAGAACAAACAGATGTCACCAGTATTGATATTGCTACTCTTCAGGGCTGTTATACAAAAATGTAGATAATATATAACTTGTAAACTGAGTAGTTATACCCATTCAACCATGAAAGATGTATTAACATGTATTACGCTTCAAATGACGAAACACGCATGCACAGGGATTATTATTACAGGAACTTTTTCTTCGCTTCTTTTTAGCTCATCGAACTCAAAGGGCCAAGTGAATTTTTCTCATCACTTGGTGTCCGTCGTCTGCGCAAGTTTTGTCTTTTATCTTGAAAACCGTTATAAAAAGACAAATTCTGATAAATCACTGAACAATGTTCAAAATGTTGAGATCATTGTACCTACAGTCCATTATTTAAGAAATGTCAGACGACTTCTTACAAGAGTTAAAGCCTTTGAATGGCGAATTTGACAATTTTGTTTATTTTTGCATACTGTGAAAGAATTTTTATTCATGGGTATTAATTGTCGTGATTTGAGCAAAAGTCAGTGGCGGATCCAGAGGGGGGCGTGGAGGGCGTACTTTTGCTTGCACTTTTTTTTTTGTAAAATGATTAATCAGACTAGACTTCGTGAACTTTGCCATTTTCCGCGTATTTAATTTTTATGCGGCAATTCTTTACTTATAAAGATATGTTCGCTCGTATAACTATTTACTGTAATATATTATTGATTATGTCAAAGTCATGAGATTCGCTACGCTGGAGTTGACCAGTGCGTCGATAAAACGTCACTCAGTCATTTTGAAATTCAAATTACAGTAACACATTGCTTAGGCTGAGGATGACAAGCATGGGACCTTCAAAGCGACAAAGGATTGAGCAAGAACGTATTTATTGACTTCTATTTCACAATTCCGCCGAACAGAAAGTAATACTCTATTACACTTTCATGAAAAAAAGTTCCACAGCAATATTATTTACCTACGAAAACATGTTTAACCCAACACGCCCCAGCCTATTAATAACATAGCTGAATAATGATCCGCAGTCGATAAGCTCTAGGTCAATTTAAGGTCTAAGGTACGGACCATTTGATTTGAGGGGGCAGTCTGAGATGTTTGAGAGAAAAAATTCTGACCCTGATTTTTGCCTTAAACAAAAATTCTGGCCGTATCTGGATTGAAAACAATAATCTTGTCCACATTTTTTACTATTAGAAACAAAAATTTCAAACAGAATTATTTAGCATTAAATGAACATGATGAATAAAAAAACAGGCGTAATTTTTTTGGGGCCGGGAGTTTGCATGTAAATCCCATATCTGACCGGAATGTCTGTTTTGTCGAACTGATAAAATGAACACTTTTTCAAGGCCCGACTGCAACCTGCCTGCTGGGTGTTGCCTTTATGTCTCCATTTGTCGACCGTCATTCATATATTCGTTGTCATTTCAGACTCATTCGTAGCCTTTGGTTGATTTGAAACCCCTCACTTCCCTTGTTGGGTGAAACATTTCAACCAAACATTTGGATAAAAATTGCTTGTTTGTCTTTCTTAACTCGTGTCGGTCGTATTGTAAATTTCATTGAATAGCTCGGCGTATATCTTGTTTACAAGAAGAAATCCGTGACGTTATGCTAACTAAACATACAACAAACGAGAATTTTCCATGTCAATTTTTTACTGACAAGTCCCACATCAAATATATTAGTACATAGCTTTGGATCCATCCAATCATTTTATAATAGACAATTAATGGGGAGAATACGGCATCAAAAATGTCCAACCCTTACACTTTAACTATAAAATATACATGCCTTACGTCAGGAACCGTTAAAAAAGTGCATTTTACACTTATTTTATTTTTTTAGCCAAAAACAGGTCCCAAAAAATTATTTGAACATGTTGAATGTACGAACTGATGTTCGTTTCCTGAGTCTAGTTTTATATGTTGTGTTTTGCATACTATTGTTTGTCTTTTAGTCTTTTTTCGTTTTTGCTATGGCGTTGTCAGTTTATTTCCGACTTGTGAGTTTGAATGTCCCTTTGGTATCTTTTGCCTCCCTTTGATAAAAATGGATATATGGGCCAAGTTCCATCAATATCAGCTCTACTCAAACATACATTCTACTTTTTCGCTATTTTTTTTTAGCTTTTAGTCCATTTTTATGTACATGTATGCTGTTACTTTTTATTGATATTTGCTATTGAATAGTCACTGTGGTGTTATTTCATAGTGTTCCATTGACAATTTGTTCCTTAATATGATACTGTAGCAATCAATTTTGAGAACATTCAAATAAAATATATAGCTTTTCATGAGAAAATATACAATTATTACACACATATTCATGTAGTTATAGTAAGAAAGAGACTGGGCGTGTAAATATGCAAAAATAAATGTATTTCAAAATTAGTCATGCTATTCTGTTTTCAATAAGTCGATCCACATGAAAATTATGTTTTACATTTTGATATCAGTCCACTTACCCTTTATATAATCTAGGCAACGCACTGGATAAACCTCGAACAACAAGCGGTGTCAAGGATAAAAAGACGCCAGTATAAGATACGAACTATTACAAAACGTTCTTAAAAGCAGCGAAGAAAATCCCTAAATGAATTATATCTGTACTTAAACCATTAAATACTCCCATAAAAAAAAATTATCAAAGAAAGAAAAGACAAACGTCCTGTAGGAAATAGTCTAAATAGGACTTATCCTGCAACATAATCAACATTAGTATATTGTTGATACGTTAATACTTTATTCTATTTATACCGTGAAGTTTTTAGCGATGAAGAAATAGGCATATCGTCACAAATTCAATGTTGATTGATTGACAATCATTTTGTCTATAAAAGAATTGCCAAATTACGGTTCAATTTAATTAAAACTTAATATGAATCATGCTTCCAATAGAAAAAAAGGAGATGTGGTATGATTGCCACTGAGACATATATCAACCAGAGTTCAAACGAAGTGGATGTAAGCAAGTAAAGGCAACATTCAACCATGAGAAAAACCAATACGATGTAGTCGGCCATAAAAGGCCCCGACATAAAAAATGTGAAACAATTCAAACGAGAAAGCTTACGGCCTAGTTTATAACAAAACAATTTACGAAAAAACAAATATGACAGACATGAACCAAACGAAAATCACTGAACTACTGGCACCTGACTTGGGACAGGCACATAAAGGAGAATCCGGGTCTGTTCGCCCTAATACCTGTTCACACTGGGTCCGTTCGCCCTTATACCTGTTTGCCCTGGGTCCGTTCGCCCTTATACCTGTTTGCCCTGGGTCCATTCGCTCTGATAGAAAATAAACGTGAATATGTATATATATGTTGTGTACAAGTTATCATTTTGTACAAATTATAATTTGTACAAAAAAATTGTACAAATTATAATTTGTATTTTGACTTTGTATAAATTATAATTTGTACAAAAAGCGCTTGTACAAATTACAACTTGTACAAAATTTGACTAATATTCACTTATAACTTGAACAATAATTTATTAATTTATAGGGATGTCAAGTTGGTTCAATATTCAACATTCAACATTCAACATTCAATTTTTTTTTTTTTTTTTTTTTTTTGGGGGGGGGGGGGGGGGGGAGTGTTTCATTCATTTTCAACATTCAACATTCGATTTCAACATTCAACATTCAAATTTTTTTTTTTTGTTAAACTTTTTTCAAATTTTTTTTCATTTTTTTTTTTTTTTTTTTTTCAACTTTCGATTTTCAACATTCAACATTCGTTTTTAACATTCAACATTCGTTTTCAACATTCGATTTTCAACTTTCAACATTCGTTTTCAACATTCAACATTCGTTTTCAACATTCGATTTTCAATATTCAACATTCGTTTTCAACATTCAACATTCGTTTTCAACATTCAACATTCAACATTCATTTTCAACATTCGATTTTCAACTTTCAACATTCGTTTTCAACATTCAACATTCGTTTTCAACATTCAACATTTGTTTTCAACATTCGATTTTCAATATTCAACTATGCAGTACCCAAATTCTCCATATTAAATAATTACACCTAAGAAATTCGAGGATCAGTTGGGGCACGATCATACTGAGGAATTCATGATCCCCCACAGCAAGTTCTGATAATTTTCAAATTATAATTTGTACAAAATGATAACTTGTACACAACATATACATCCCCAAAAAAACCATTCGAAAAGAATACAAATTTATTTATGTTTTGATTTGTTGATTACAAAATCGATGATCTATTTATTACAAGATCCAATTCGAAATTCGCATCACACACCAATTATTTTTTACACTATTATTTTAAAGAGCACATGCATATATAGGAAATGTGTCAAAACGAACTTGAGATCAAAGAACCCAAGCTGTGTGCGAAACAAAAATCCCTTGTATGTCTTACAATTCGTACATCGTTGTTTTTACTCATTCCAAGATGACTAGTTCATTTTAAAGAACTTTGTTAAATTTTAAATTAAAAAAATTAAATGAAAGGGGAAGACATCTTAACATTCCTAGAGAGGAAAGATACTGTCCTGTCTGTAATAATGAGGAAATTAAAGAAGAACAACATTTCTTATTACAATGTAATAGATTTACATCAAAACGAGAAATATTAGAAAATAAAATAAATGCTATATATTTAAAATACAGCGTAACATTAACACTGATGAAAAAATATCTCTATTGGTAAACAATAGCTCAGCATTATTACTTAGACTGTCTTCCTCTTTCATATCAGAGTGTCTAAATATTAGGAATAGTGAACTAATATGATACATCAATATGTAACTTTTCATTCTATCATGATATATTAACATGTAACTTTTCATTCTATCGTGTCAATTAATATAATTATATATATGCAATAGGTCTTAACCATTTATTGTTAATAAGTTTGTGCCAATAAAATATTTGTATTTGTATTTTTATTTTAAAAACAAATATGTTACTTTCATTATTAATTCAACAAAGACAATTAATACAAAAATAAATGAGCTCAAAGACATCATAATTATACCTAATCAGCATTCTAAATTACAATCAACAGCCATTAAAAATGATTCTAAATAAAACAAAATTAACGTAAGAATGAAGTCCATTAATGCTAAAAAAAAAAAAACCATAAGTTTTTTAATATTGCCATGTTTTTTCATAATTTCGAGAATATATTTTTTTCTAATTCTGATCATATAAATATCTGAATATGTTTATCAAATCTTAAAATACCACTATATTATCTTTTTTTAAAGTAGGGCGAACGAACCCAGGGCGAACGGACTATATGGGCGAACGGACTCAGGGCGAACGGACCCAGGGCGAAGATGTAATCAGGGCGAACGGACCCGATACCCATAAAAAGATGTAGCGGGTTTAACCATGTTTATGAGCACTCAACCCTTCCTACCTGGGACAGTCGTGTGACAGGACAAACTAAGAACAAATTGTTAAAATCAGTAGCAATTGACATTACTAAAAAGATCGGCACGAGACACAAAAACAACTAACATTAAAATATACCAGACCCAAAGCACCGAAATAAAGAGTACTCGCAGTTGCTGAAAGCTAGTACAAAGCAAATTACAATTAATAAAAATATCATGGTCTCCCAGACTTAAACATTAATCAGTACACATCCAACTTGTGAAGAATGGAAAACCCTTGAAGACCGGAGAAAAGCAGCAAGACTCGCAATGATGTATAAACTGGGAAGGTCTATTAACAGGACAGATAAAACCAGGACAGTTATTTTTGATACATTTTCATCTGTAACTTTTGTTTTAACCACCATATTGTTAACATTTATAAATTGTAAAATAAAGAACAGGGTATTTACTTAGTAAGGACAGTTAAATTTTAAGAAAAAAATGGCTGAAATTGCCGAGAAAAATTTACTGATAATTGAAATAATTTCTCCAAAACAACTGTCTGGCATAATATTTTTGTGCGGTTATAAAGTTTAAGGAATAATCATTCCAAAAATCTATAATTCAATATTTATTTCGTCTTTAAAAGGTAAAAAAATCTGCCAGGACAGTAGCCTATTACGTTAGAAATTTTGTTGAAATTAGCTCAAAATCAAAATATAAAGTTAAATATCTTCTTCAAAATGAATGTCTGGTAAGCAAATTTTGGCTCATTGGAAAGTTTAAAATATAAGCTTTAAGAAAATATAAAAAAATGTGGACTTTTATTTCATTAACACAAAAAAAATCTGCCTGTTCTTTATTATACAATTTAAATTTAAACAATATGTTGAGTAAAACAAAAGTTACAGATAAAAACGTATCGAAAATAACTGTCCTGGTTTTATCTGTCCTGTTTTTAGACCTTCCCGTATAAAAAAAATTGAGAATGGAAATGGGGAATGTGTCAAAGAGACAACAACCCGACCATAGAGCAGACAACAGCCGAAGGCCACCAATGGGTCTTCAATGCAGCGAGAAACTCCCGCACCCGGAGGCGTCCTTCAGCTGGCCCCTAAACAAATATGTATACTAGTTCAGTGATAATGGACGTCATACTAAACTCCGGCCAAATTATACACAGGAAACTAAAATTAAAAATGATACAAGACTAACAAAAGCCAGAGGCTCCTGACTTGGGACAGGCGCAAAAATGCGGCGGGGTTAAACATGTTTTTTGAGATCTCAACCCTCCCCCTATACCTCTAGCCAATGTAGAAAAAACAAACGCACAACAGTACGCACAGTAAAACTCAGTTTAAGAGAAGTCCGAGTCCGATGTCAGAATGGGAAACAAAAGAAAATAAACAAAATGACAATAATACATAAATAACAACAGACTACTAGCAGTTAATGACATGCCAGCTCCAGACCTCAATTAAACTGATTGAAAGATTATGT